CCACCACCACCACCACCACCACCACCATCAATCGCAACCACCACCACCACCACCATCAATCACAACCACCACCACCACCACCACCACCACTAACCGGTGTCTGTGTTGTAGTGGGAAACTTCTTTGCTCTTGCAGGAACAGAATAAGAGTTCGATTCCCGCCCGGAGACGTATTTTGTATTTAGTGTCTCCATCAAAACTGTGTGCAGGCATGTGGGATAACATTCAGCATTGTTTCGTCCTTGCAGGCAGGGTCGAAGCAGCCCGCCTCCTAAACGATGTTGTTTGTAGCGAAGAGTCATGAAATACATGTTTCTACATTCATCTATATCCTCAAAGTCAGATGCCACCACCCAGCTGTCTTTTCATTTATATCCTCAAAATCTGATGTCACCATGCAACAGTCATATCATTTTTATAATTAAAATCTGATGTCGCCATTCAACTGTCATATCATTTATATCCCCAAAATATGATGCCACCATCCAACTGTCATATCATTTATATTATTAAAATCAGAAGGCACCATGTAATTGGAATATCATTTATAGCCTCAAAGTCACCATCCCGACAATTGCTAAGACATGAAATCCACACACTGACCACAACCTACCGCACTGGTCACATGTACCCCACAAACGAACCATAAACTGACCACACACTGATCACATCTTACTGTATCGGTGTCTGTCTGTAGGTCAAGCATGTGCAGTCCTACAAGATCCAAGAGCTGAAAGTCCTGGAGCAGGGCAAATATGTGGACATCACCTGGAGCGATGGTCACCAGTCCAGGTAATTTCATACAACTGACCACACTCTCACAATTGACCACATGCTCACCACCCCCCTGGGCGGTGCCACTGACTGAAGTGTCTTTAGGCCATTCCCAAAGGGGGGACTTTTCTCGTTCTAGTGTAGGTAGAATTGTAAATGGGCTGATCCAACAATGTTATGCTCGTAACTGTGCCTGAATTACAACAGGGAACTGCTGCTTTTTCTTTCCTAATCCTTACTATCGTCATTTTCCTCTACTGCTTTTGTACGTTTGTCACACTTTTGTGACCCGCTGTTGAAGCTAGAGAGGTGAGCAGAGAAAGTTTGATTCCCTGTAAGGACTTCTCTGTTGACCTTCAACCCTTGGCACTCATATAACCTTATGTAGTTGCGAGCGCCGTAAAACCTCTAGTAAAAAAAAACTCCCAGATGCTCGCAAATTGACCACGTGCCCACACAACTGACCACAACCTCAAACAACTGTTCACTCGCTCACATAACTGACGACAGGCCAGGAGTCTCAGACAGATGGACAAACACATCATCCTTTCTTGTATCTCAGTCTTTCTGCTGGGATGTTGGATCCCTCTCAGCCCAGGTTTGTCTTAAAAAGCAGGGCTGAAGCATGCCTCATCATCATCATCATTGCCTTTCTCATTCTGCTCCAGGGTATAGGCCACGGACAAACACCTTCCACCTTTCTCTATCCTGGGCTAGCCTCTTGATGTTATTCCATGTCTTCCCACTTTTCTGTCATGCCTCAAAGGTGATCTAAATTGTGTCGATGGGGCGTAAAACACCCCTATTAGAATATGCACCAAAAAAATTATAAAATAATTTATAAAACCCACCACCACCACCACTACCAACAACAATACCCACCCCCTACAACAACAACGAACAAATCAGAAAACCCACATAACACTTTGATGTTTTACTCCCCCATCGACACAGCTTCAGTTTACAACCGAAGATCATTTACAAGCCGCAGTCATATACAATCAAACAATCATTTAGAGCTTCATAGAATCATTCACGCACGATCATCAATAATTTACAGTCCACTAACCATTCACTATCAGTCACAATTAACTGATCATTTACAAATATTCACAATTATTCATAATCATTCACAATCCACCAATCACCCACAAACCAAACCTGTGATCCCAGATTCCACGCCCTGTGGTTACGTCACAACTGCCACTGTGAGGACTGTAAGCTTGACCACAACGGCATGCTGACCATCAACTTTAACGACATTGACGAAGGGCTGAGGGTCACTTCTGTCAGGATGGAAGGTAGTGTGTGTGTGTGTGTGTGTGTGTGTGTGTGTGTGTGTGTGTGTGTGTGTG